AGGCTCACATACAGCACTTCCTTAGTGCTGGGACTGTCAGAGTGCTTCTCAAATTTTCACTTTTTAATCTCCACTCAAATCCTTTAAAATAAGGATTTGGCTTCTCCTCGGCTTAAGGAAGTAGACATTGAGGCCCACGGAAGTACAAAACTTGCCTAAACACACATACACAACTACTAAATGGCAGAGCCGGGATTTGAACCTGGGCAACCTGCCTCCTGGACCATGGAATCCAGTGTGACTATACACTGCCTTTTGCCTACCTATGCTCTAGCCCTGCTACTCTCATTTGCTGGGTACAATTCAACATCCATCGCCCAACTCCACAAAGTCTTCCCTGATGCCTCCCAGGCTGAATTCACTCCTGTCTCTGTATTCCCACAAGGCCTTGCCCTCCCTACCCCAGTGGCAACCTCACATCGGGGCTTGGCCATTCTTGTCTGTGCTGAGCACATTGAGGTGGGGGGGGGGAGGTCGTGTCTCCATCTCCCTTGTCTCCTCTGTGCCCAGTCCAGAAGCTTCTGTCATCCATTCTCCACGTAGCAACGACAGCACGCTTTAAAAACCCAGACCAGTTTTTAGCACCGCTTGCTTCCAACCATCCAGCGACAATCCATGATATTTTGGATAGAATCCCAAGGCTGGCCATGGCCGAGAAGGTTCTGCCTGATCCACTGGCGGCTCGCTCCCTGCCCTCACCTGCTGCGCTCTCCCCTTGATCACTGTGCTCCAGCCACACTGGCCTCCTGCCCGTCCCCCCAGAACAGTGCAGGCTCACATTAGGGCCTCTGCTAGAGCTATTTCCTCTGCCTGCACTGTTCGGCCCCACATCCGCACATGGACCAACTCTTCCTTGTGACTTGGGCCTCCGTGCCGGGTCACCATTTCCAACAGGCCTCCCTGGTCTGTGTGTCAGCCTTAGTGTTTTCATGTTTACTTTGTAATTGTTATTGATGATTGTATCCACGCCGTAAGCCCCAAAGGACAGGCACCAGAGGTGTCTTGTTCTGCTGTATCACCAGCCCCTGGAGCGGAACCTGGCTCAGAGCAGCCGTTCACTGAATAACCATCTCGAAGGAAGAGTGGATGCTCACCAGGTGCCCCTTGGGATCCTGTATATTGCAATACAACTAGGCCCGGGTAATATAATACATCTAAATCGGTCTCATTCCAGGCTAATAGCCAGGACAATTTCACAAGCTGAAGTTCACTATCTTTATCACCTTCCTTTGTCTTGCCTGCAGTCACACTCCCAGAAGTAAGTCAATTTTATTGGCTGTTCTCTTCACCAGGGCTGCTGAGAGCTCCTTGCATGCGTGCGCGCGCGTGTCTCAGGAGGCGGGGGAGCTTGTGAGACCCTGCCCTCCCCAGTGTTGCAGGCACTTCCCTGAAAAGTCAAAATGCTGATTGGTGTAGTCAGAGCTCCAGAGCCCAATCGGGGCACCCAGACCTATCACGGCTGTCACATTTCATCAGGAACTGGAGAGCCTGTGTGCTCCAAAAAGGCACAAGAGCTCTGAGATCTGCCAGGGCCTGGGCCAAACGCTACTCATTTAACACCCCCAGAGGAGCTGCAGTCTGCAGCCGAGAGGGATGTGCAGCCAAAGTCAGGGCCAGTGGGGGAAAAGGAGGCTTCACAAGCACTCGGAAGGACTGTCAAAAACCCACCGAAATGAGGCCCCAGAGTCTGCCTGCAGAGCCTTTGCTAATAAGGAGCAAGAGGGCCAGCAGAGAGGTCACACAGTAACCGGAAGGTGCTGGCAGGAGCACCTGACTTTGAAAGTGTACGGAAGGACACGTCGTCAAAGAGTTTTCAAGCCCCATGGTCATACATTGTCAACCTCTTGAGAACCAGGAAGGACTCGTCCTGCCTCACATCCCCTACCTCCTTCTGGGCTCTTGGAGCTGCGAAAGGATGTGGTGTCCACAGTCTATGGGCTCAGCAACCATTGGGTCTAAACTGGCAGGTGGAATGGTGAACTCTGGATCACAAGTTCAAAGACCATGGCTGTGGTCTCAACCCTGTGGGACCTGGGGTAAATTTTACCCCATCTCTCTTGCTCTTGTCTTCCCCATCTGTAAAACCTGGTGGGATGACTCCCAAGTCAGTCATTTCTGTAACTCCCAGCCTTCTACCCCGATGAGCTCCTGACTCACACGACTTTGGGAAGAGCCTACTTCTTCTTGATGGGGCCCTGTCTGTCTTTTGGTCACTCTGGCAAACAGTCACTGGCTGATGGCCCAGGGAGGTTGGTAGAAATCACTAACCTTGCCAAGGGTGGATGTACCCTTGTTTTTTCCAGAAGCAGCTTCTTCTAATTCATATACCCCACCCTCAAACCTTTCTGCTAAGAATGGGACAGTGCAGGCAGAAGTTATGACTTGAGTTCATGGCTTCCAAGGAGGCACAACACATTTGAATGGCAGAAGTTGTTAATGATGTTAGAAATTGCTCTGTGAGGGGCCGGTGCTATGGCATAGTAGGTAAAGCTACTGCATGCAACACTGGCATCCCCTATGAGTGCTAGTTCAAGTCCTGGATGCTCCACTTCCCATCCAGCTCCCTGCTAATGGCCTGGAAAAGCAGCAGAAGATGGCCCAAATGCTTGGGCTCCTGCCACCCACATGGGATACTCAAAAGAAGCTGCTTTCAAATAAATAAATAAATCTTAAAAAAAGAAATCATTCTGCATGGAATGATATGATGTCTTGAGTTTGCTTCAAAGTATGTATGTGTGTGTGCATGCATGTGTGTGAGGAGGGACAGAGAGATGACATAAAATTGGTGCACTATTGAATACATGGGTTTTATTCTATTATACTTTCAATATTTCAAACCCCCCCTTTCTCCTGTCACTTCGCAGTCCCTGTCCTGAGGACCCTCCGGCTCAGTGGCATCACCCTCGTGGCTGTGATTCACACCTCTAAGCCTTTGCACACAGCTCCATCTGTCTGGGGGCCTTTTCCTCCATTCCACAGTTTGTCACTCCTCCTCGGAGATCCTGCAGCCTCGTGTACTTGCCTCGACACTTCTCACACCATATTACAACCGTGGTTTTTTTCTGCTTCCTCTGCTGATCTCTGTCATCCTTGGGACACTGCTCTGTCCCCTCAGTGCACAGCCAGGTTCTCAGCATGTTTACAGAAAGAATAACTACAGCAACGGGTACACAGCAATGGGTAGTACCGGTTTGGGGAGCTGGTGTGTGCCAGGTGTGCCAGGTTCTAAACTAAGCTTGTTATTTAGCCAGCCCACTAAATCCCCAGCACAAGTGGGTGTGATTATATCCTTTTTTATAATTATTATTTATTTGAAAAAGTTAGAGAGAGAGAGAGAGAGAGAAAGGTCTTCCATCTTCTGGTTCACTCCCCAGATGGCTGCAATGGCTGGAATTGAGTGGTCTAAAGCCAGGAGCCAGAAGCCTGGGTGCAGGGGCCCAAACACTCCTCCACTGCTCTCCCAGGCCTACCTGCAGGGAGCTGGATCGGAAGTGGAGCAGTTGGGACTTGAACCTGTGCCCACGTGTGATACCACAGCGCTGCAGGCTGGGGCTCTAACCCACTGCACCACAGCACCCACCCCATGTCTTTTCTCCTTAACAGCTCAAGATAGTCAGAGGTGGATTGCTCAAGGTCACACACTACTACAGCGACAGAACTGAGACTGGGCTCAGAATGGAAACCGCTTCGCTCTTCTTGTATCTGGGGTTTAAAAAGTCTTCTCTGTGAACGTTACACAACAGGCCTGGGTTTCGGGCCCAGCTGTGCTACTGAACCGCTGAGCGACCTTGGGCGGATCACCTCTGCCCCCTAGGCGCCGTCTCCCGGTGAGACTATCAGCCATCTCGAGGATCACATGATCCCAGGGCCCTCCCACCTCCAGCTCTGGGAGGGAAGGTTTCTCTTCCCCGTTTGGTTTCCGGCAGCCGAGCTGGCTTCCCAGTTCGGGAACCTCCCGGCTTCGCGTACCCGCTCAAACCTCTTGTCTTGCTAATTGCAGTCTCCCAAAGCTTAGTTGCGTTTGCAACCCGCTGCCCGGGTCACCCCTCCCCCACTTCCTTCCTTGCGGGCCGGGATTTCTCCGGAGGTGGAGGCGGAACTCTGGGCAAGTGGGGGTGGGGGAGCCTGTAGCTGCCCCACACGTTGGTGCGGCTTCCCCGCGGTTTCTCGGCGCCCTCCCCCCACGGAAACTCAGCCTCACACTTTCTAGGGATGTTCCGGGGACAGCCAGAGTCAGCGATCGCAGCTGCCAGCCAGCGGGCATCTATGTTAGGCTCTCGGAAGTCCCCGGTCCCGGCTCGGGTGGGGGAGGGGGTATGGGTGGGGGGTCCTCAGGAAACAGGCGGCGGTGCACTCCCTCCTGGGCAGGAGCTCAGACTAGGCCTGGCGCGCCCTACCGAGCCCGGGACCTTTGCAGCCGGGACCCGCCATTGCACCGCCAGGCCTTGGCGAATGGCAGAGCCAGGGAAGCGGGGCTGTAGCTAGGCCCCCTCTCTCCGGCTCGTCCCCGACCCCGCTCTGGGAGACACCGATATCCCCCAATGAGGCACCCACCAACTCCCCCTGGGAATGCAGGGGGCCGTAGCCCCTCGCTTTGTCTGCCGCCAGGGGCCGGGACGCGGGCGGCTGGCAGAAGCTGTCCGCCGCCTCGGTGCTGACGCGGGGAGCGGAGCCCGCGGGGCTGAGCCGGGACCGACAGAGGCGCGGAGCTCGCCCGGCGACGCTGTCCGCCGGGGCGGTGCTGAACAGGGGAGGCCCCCGCCGGGGCACGGACTCCGTCCCCGAAGTGGTGCTGAAGGGGAAGGGAGCCCGCGGCGCCCTCCGCCTCGCCCCGGAAGAACCGCCGGCGGCTGAGCGCTGCCGGGGCGGGGGAGAGGCCGGAGGGAGCCGCCTGCGGGGAGCGCCGCAGCGCGGGGCCCAAGGCGAGGGTCTCTGCAGCTAACCTACGCCGCCGGAGCAGGTGGCTGCCGGGCGCGAGAGCGAGCGCGCGTTCTACGAACCTGTTGGAGGCTGCAGCTCCTCCGCGGCCGACCAGGGCGCCCGGGACCGAGATGCTGGCGCGCCTCTGCCTCCCCCTCTTCCCCGGTTCCTCCGCCGAGGCGCTTCCTCCTGCCTGGGCTAGTACATGTGCAGGCGGGGGGCGCCAAGCCCCTCTTCCGCGCGCCCCGACTGTCAGCCCAGCTGCAGGCACAGAACCGAGAGGCCTCCCCCAAGGGCAGACCCGCTCCCTGGGAGACCCGAGCTTCCTGAGCAAAGAGGCGGGGGCTGGCGGCGGCGGCGAGGAGAGAGGGCGCCAGCAGAGGTGGCTGTGAAATCAAGAGGGAGACGGGGGAGTTCCTCACACAGAGGTTCTGCCCTGAAGTTTGGGGACTTAGGGGGCCTGTGACTAGGACATTTCGCCTTGGAAATCTCCCCTCTCCCGTCTGTGACCAACCGCCAAATGTGGCTGTATACCTACCTGCCCTGTTGGAAACTCCACTTACCATCTAACTGCCTCCAGCACCTTATTTTTTTTAAAGATTTTTATTTATTGGTTTATTAGAAAGACTCTCTCTCTCTCTCTCTCTCTGTGTATGTGTGAGAGAGATATATATCTCCCATCTGTGGATTCATGCCCCAAATGCCCACAATGGCAGGACTGGCCCAGGCCAAAGCCAGGAACAAGAACAGTATCTGGGTCTTCCACGTGGGTGACAGGGACCCATATACTTGGGCCATCATCTGAGACACATTTTACAGGGAGCTGGATCAGAAGGGGAGCAGCTGGGGCTCCAACCAATACTCGGATATGGGATATGGGTTGCTGGTGTCCCAGGCAGCAACTTACTGTGCCACAAGGCTGGCCTCAAGTACCTCATTCTTTTTTTTTTTTAATTAATTAGTTAATTTTTTTTACTTATTTGACAGGTAGAGTCAGACAGTGAGAGAGAGAGACAGAGAGAAAGGTCTTCCTTCCATTGGTTCACTCCCCAAATGGCCGCAACGGCCAGAACAACGCCTATCTGAAGCCAGGAGCCAGGTGCTTCCTCCTGGTCTCCCATGCGGGTGGAATCACCTGGACCAATCACCTGGACCATCCTCCACTGCCCTCCACAGCAGAGAGCTGGACTGGAAGAGGAGCAGCCGGGACTAGAACCCGGCACCCATATGGAATGCTGGCGACGCAGGTGGAGGATTAGCCAAGTGAGCCACGGCACCGGCCCCAAGTACCTCATTCTTGTCCAGCATCAACCATGCCTCAGAGGAATCTTTCTAGATCACACACACACACACACACACACACACCTTCTTTGCTGTGGCATTTTAGATCCTTCATCAGCAAGACATAGGCCCTCCTCTCCAGTGTGCCACCGTATGACCGAACAGGTTCACCCCTGTGTCTTAGCACCTGCTGCTCCCCTTGGCTGCAATAGTTTTCCCTTAAAGAAGGGGCTATCAAAGAAGGAGGTACCTTTCTCTGAGTGGAGGAGAGAACTTCCACTTTGCTTATGGCCCTAAGTAATTTCGGAGTTTGTGGACTCAAGAGGCTTCCACAGCCTTAGCAGCTCATGACAAGAGCCTTGGGTGATCACTGACATCATAAATAAGAGTGTCAATTGTTAAATCAACAACAGGAGTCACTGTGCACTTGCTCCCCATGTAGGACCTCTGTCCTTCATGTGTTGTACTATGCGAATTAATGGTAAAACTAGTCTTCAAACAGTACTTTGTGTGTCTGTGTGGGTGCAAACTGCTGAAATCTTTACTTAATATAGAGTTGATCTTCTGTATATAAAGATAATTAAAATGAATCTTAATGAAGAATGGGATGGGAGAGGGAGTAGGAGGTGGGAGAGGTGTGGGGGTGGGAGTGTGGGCATGGGAGGAAAAACTGCTATAATCCAAAAGTTGTACTTACAAAATTTATATTTATTAAATAAAAGCTTTCTATAAAAATAGTCTTCCCTTTACTACCAATGGCTCATCTGCAAGGGAAAGTGTCCTCATTCTCAATGAAAATCTCCCTGACACCTATGGCACAGTTAGTCTTTCTTCCTCCGGGCTCCCCTAGCCTTTACAATGCTCTTCTAGACTTCTTATCACATTGTATCATAATTACTTATGCAACTGTGTCCTCAGCTGCCACACTCATCAAAACTGTTTCCATGTTTTATTTTTCTCCCTGTCTCTGTCTCCTAGCATGGTGGCTGACACACAATAGGTGTTGAATTAATCTGCTGCATGAAGGCACACAGGAGAAGCAGAGGCCAAAGTAACTTTCTTTTCTTCCTATGATTGCTTATTTGATTCCTACATTTTTATCACAGCCTGCAAGGCCCTACCTGGCAGCATCCTTGCCTCGTTAGCACAATTCCTTTTTTCTTTTAGTCCTCATTACTCTGGGAAGTAATTTTATAGTCATCCCGTTCTTTCCATGGGAAAACTGGTTACGGGACCTCCTGCACATACCAAAATCTGTGGATGCTCAAGTCCCTTAATTAAAATGATATAATATTTGCATTTCATCTTCATATATCCTCCTACATATTTTAAATCATCTCTAGATTCCTTATAATACCTAGTGCAATGTAAATGCTATGCAAATAGTTGCTATACTATATTGAATAATGGGAATGACAATACAGAAGGTGGTACATGTTTACTACAGATGTAATTCTTTGCCAAATATTTTTGATCCGTGGTTGGTTGAGTCTATAAATGCAGAATCTGTGAATACAAAGAGTCAGTGTACTTACATGCTTACTTGTTGGTCACTTAGCATCTCCCCAACTAGAATGGAAACTGCTGGGGAAAGGATCATGTCTGTCTTGCCCACTGCAGTGATCTCAGTGCTCAACCTTCTGGAGGAACAGACTTTATAACAAGGCATTCATTTGTTTTTGTCTTTGGAAAGGCTTGAGCTATTGTGCAGGTCATTGTGGAATCTTCTCTGAAGTATAAGCCAGCTAAGAATGTTTAAGGAAAGAAGGGCACATTGATCTTCTATGGAATAAGAAAGGAGAGGTAGGGGTGATCTTAGTCCATTTCGTGCAGAATACCCTAGATTGGATAATCTACATGCTCCAAAACTCCCTGGCCCATGATTTCAGATTTTGGGAAGTCCAAGACAGAGGGGCTGGCATCTGGCAAGGGCCTTGTCACTGTTCCACCTCCTGTGCAAAGGCAAAGAGACAGAGAGCAAGAGATCGACCATGCAGCCTCAAGCTCCTGTGTGACTGGGGTTAATCCGTGCATGAGGGTGGAGCCCTCTTGCCTTAAACACCTCCCATTAGGCAGTGGCTTGTTTGTTTGTTTTGCATCAGGAGCTTTGAAGGGTGCCTTCATAGTAGGGTGAGTCACAGGTGTGTACCTGTGACGTTATAAGCCCCTTTTCTCTTTGGATGACATCATCAGAACAACTCACTTTTGTACACCATCCAAAACACTTTCCCACTCTTGATCTTGTTTGATGTTTGTGATTACCTTATCTCGAGGCATTCTTCTCCCCATTTCACAACTAAAACAACTGAGGCCAACAGATAGACTGAGTTGAACAAAGTCAAACAGCTTGTGAGCAGTGCACTGTTCCTGGCACCATGCTACAGTGCTGAGCTGAGAACTAACTTCCAGAATGAACACACGTTTCTGACCTCCAGGATCTCCCATTAGCAGGAGGCACAGCTGCATAAACAACAGATCCTAACACCATCTGATGAATGCTGGCCAGTGTTTCTTGACCTGGAAGGGATAGAGTAGGGTGGGGAGAGGAGTGGACAGGCTGTTGACATCAGAATAAACTCAAACTCTTCAAAAATAGTTGGGTGTCAAATCCTGCACTAAGTGATTTATATACATTCTGTCTCAGCGAGTCATTTCTGCTCACTCCTTTGCCCATTTTACATGGGCTATGAAGCCTTGGGCAGTTAGGCTGCTTGACTAAGATGGAGAACAGCTGAGGTGGGACTCAGCCCGAGTTGGTTTGTTGACTCAAAGTCTGGATTTCTGGTGAGCAGGGATGGGCCTGGGGTTTGAAGATGATTCTTAGGTTGTTCTTACCAGTCTTTCCCACCACCACCAAGAGCACTTGTATAGAGAAAGCTTTGAGATGAGGAGGAAAGGGATGAACACTACCTTTAGGGGGAGTTAGGGAGGTTGCAATTGGACCTTGGAAGATTAAGTGGAGTTTCTTGGGCAGACAAAAGGAGAATATTTCAGAGCGTGATAAATAGTCAAGGGCCTTGAGGTGTGAAAATGGGACTGTCAGAGGTTTGGTGTGGACAGAGTGTAGGCTGAGGTAGCGGATGGGAAAACAGGCTGGAACTGGTTTGTATGTGGCTGCCCAACTTAATCCCATAGGCAGTGGAGAGGCGTGGAAAGGGAAGAGCTCTGCTTTAACCACTGCCGCTGCCACCTTGCTCACCCCACAGCAACAATACCGGATCAGTCCTTTACCATTCACAAGGTGCTTTCTGCTGACATCAGAAATATCCCTCCAGCAGGATGTGGGTCTGAAGCCCCAGGAGGGCACCACGTGGGCTTGTTCTGACACCCAGCAGAAAATCTGCAAGTGGCAAGGTGTTCAGGAAGCATTTGTTGAAGAGGAAGAAACTGGATACCAGGAGTCTGGATGCTGCTACCATAATTCGAGTAGGAGAAAAAGGATGAAAAGCAGCATGTAGTTCAGAAGTGCACAACTTTGTATACTACAGCATCTACACAGTCAAATTGTGCTGCCTCTTACCTCTGTGCACCTTGCGGGGGTGAGGGAGGGCTGGGATTTAGCAGCTCCACAGAATGGTTGGTGAATAACTTGAACAATTCCCCTCTTCAATATACAGAAAACCATACTGGCACCTTGACAGCCAACAGCCCGCCCAGCCAGAATCTTCTGCAGTCGTATCTACTTTATGTCTTTTGGATTCTGCGTTTTGGTCCTGATGGTCTCTATTATGTAGCAATAACATTATATACCATCATTTGTTTCTATGTTTTAAAGGGCATTCACCATGCTAATGAAGCAGATCTTGGCTCAAGTACTAAATTCCACCTTCTGTTTCTTTACCCCTTTGGGAAGTCCACACAGAAGCTGATGATGGAAAACATAGAGATGTATTTTTTTAAAAATTTTATTTATTTTTAAAAAGAATTTATTTATTTGAGACGTAGAGTTACAGACAGTGAGAGGGAGAGACAGAGAGAAAGGTCTTCCATCGGCTGGTTCACTCTCCAATTGGCTACAATGACTGGAGCTGGACCTATCAGGAGCCAGGAGCTTCTTCCAGGTCTCCCATGCGGGG